GTACGAACCCTTTGTACGAACAAAAGTAAGAGAAATTTAGGGGAAGAATACGAACATGTTCTTGCATGAGGCCCAATGAGTTTGATGTGTCACATGACTCTCTTCCCAATGGGGAAAAAGTAAAGTTGGATCCAAAATGGCCGACTTCAAAATGGGCACCATGTTCACCACCCGTCTGGATAAGTTTGGCCTCTCCCAAATACTAATGTGCCATAAACAGGAAGTTAATATCACCAACCATTCCCATTTTATTTAGGTTTATCCATATGAATGGCCCACTCTTATTGGACCTGCATTGTTGTTGTATTAAGTCACCCTCTTCACTAATAAAAACAGCTGAATTCTAGATCTTTATCATTTGTCTTTAAAGCAGTTTTTGTAGTTCAAGTTCACTTGTAATGTCACTGAAGGTAATGTGGGGCGGAGCAGACTGAGGAGGGCGTGTCCTGTGTTTTCATTGATAAAAGGTGCCACAGTTTCGTTAGTCTCTGTTGGCTGATTAGCTCTGAATCATGGCACATTGTTGATAATCAAGTCACATTTTTATCACCAGTGACCCTTATACTGCACTTCAAAACTGCTCTAGACACAAATAATAGGACAAAAGTGTCTTTCACAATTTCTATGAACTGACATGTAATAAAATATTATTATTCTCAACAGCCCATATAAGATAGTATTTTAACATTATTCTTATTAATAAATTTTAGTTTTGATTTATGTCACGACTCAAACATTTTTTTATTTGGACATGAAACTGCAAATAACACAGATGTAGTACAGAAGTGGGATGTTTCTAAAGAGTTGCAAAATTAGAGGGAAGTTGCAACAACAAAACGAGGTGTGGGAAGTGTGTTTAGTAGTTTCATTTCCTTTAGATTTACATCGGCACACAATTGTCATTAGCAGTTAGTTCACAGAAGAGAAGAAAATATTTTAGTAATCATTATTAATAGTTATTTTTTGGTGTAGGGTTTGTAGACAGCTTTTGTACTGAAGTTTTAGTGCTTGTGTGGCACAGCTATCTGTTGTAGTTTCCCCTCACTGGGTAATGCTGTGTCAGGCTTTGTGTGAGGCAAGCAGGAGCCCCTGTTTCCACCCAAGATAATTTTTATTCCACAACAGCTAATGTGCTGCAAATGGATAAAGGTTAAACTACCCTAACCACTGATGGWTTTATACCTATTAAAAATAGACACGCACGTAAATTTTAAGAAGTCAGTCTTCACACATTTGTGGTCATTGTACTGCAGTTAGTCTACAATGTTTCCCTTTTTCGTCTCTGCTCAGTATTAAGAGTGTTTTAAAGTACGTAAGGTTTCAGCTCTTCTTCATCGTTAGGATTAGGTCTGCTTGTATCACCGTTTCTTTTCACAGGTAAATATTTCCATCACAAGGAGCATCCTTTTTAAATAAATAAAGCTGGACCAAAAGTCCCAATATGGGTTTGTCTATCAAAGATGTGCATATATTTAACCTGTTTATTTCTCACTGTCCATCTATAGATTTAGGTAGCAAAGACACTTAACAAAAATACATTGAACTGAGATTAAAATGTGATTGTGTTAAGGTGGTTTTGTTTTTGTTTTCTAGCTCCAAAACTTGGGAATCAATCCAGCCAACATAGGCTTCAGCACCCTAACCATGGAGTCTGATAAGTTCATCTGTATCCGGGAGAAGGTTGGCGAGCAGGCTCAGGTGGTAATCATTGACATGGCCGACCCAAATACTCCCATCCGCAGGCCCATTTCAGCTGACAGCGCTATCATGAATCCAGCCAGCAAGGTCATTGCACTCAAAGGTATGTCCATGTAGTGTTGGTGTCAAAAAGTCCTTTTTCTTTTAGATGTGTTCAGGTTTTAAGACTAACTCTGAAGGGCTTCTTCATTCAGACACATTTTAAAACAACCGCATTGTCCTTTTGATATTTTACTTAAAAATAAAAAAATCACATTTAATGTTCATATACATCCAGCTACTTTTTATTTATTCCTGTGAAGTGTTTTTTATTTTATTTTTTATTTTTAAGTAAAATATCAAAAGGACAATGCGGTTGTTTTAAAATGTGTCTGAATGAAGAAGCCCTTC